AAAAATGGGACAGTGTGGTCAATGTTTCCTAGAGGGTATCTTCCCTCTGCACCCAAAAGGCAGGAACCTTGTTTGTAAAATGGTAATTAACGGAAGCCTTTGTGTGTGTGCAGGGTCGCATGTGTGTTTGCTTGAGTGGGAGTGCCAACTGCAGGAGCATGTTTTAAGCATCTATAATTCTTATGGAAATCTAAGAATTCTTGAGTACTGGACCTTGGTAATCAATAAATACCAGAATTTTTTTTCTTTCCCATGGGCCTGCTTCTTTGGTTCGCCTCTGACTTTTCTTTGCTCATTAACATTGTTAAGTGACAACCCACATTGTACATCACTGCTTTTAGCCACAGCACTCACCACCAACTGGCACTTGTCTTGCCTTTTAGTTTGAATTTCCAAAAAGAGAATTTATTCCCCATCAGATTAGGTGAATATCCCTGATTTAATTATTCATGTTACTGGCTGTCTCATGATGTAGACCCATGTAGAAGCAATTGTGTAACAAAGAGGCAGTACTGGGAATACCTATTACAAAGATGAGTATAATGTACTACGGAGCATGTAGAGGGAATATCCACCCAGCCTTAGACGGACAGAGAAGATGCTCCGAAAAGAGGCATTTAATCTGGGACCTGACAGAGAAGTAGTAGTAAGCCAAGGGCAGAGGTAGAAGAAGAAAGACACTACTGTAGATGGAGGAAACAGTAACACAAAGGCGTAGTTCAGTATGATTGGAACCATACATGTCCAGAGGGTAATTTCTAGATTTTAGTCCAGAAATGATCTGGATCTGATCAGGATGGCATATTACATTATGAGGAGTTTGGAATTTTCCTGATGGCAGTGAGGAAACTATTAATCTTAGAGGAATTAAGGGTGGCACCTGGCACCTGCATTTGAAGAATGAACCAGAGGCTTCAGGACTGGAAATGGAAGGTTATTCTATCAATTCAGATAAGAAATGATGGTGGGCCTAACTCTAGGAGTGAGTGATATTAGTGATAATTAGGACCGGCTGATGTAGAGAAAGATTCATTGGATAGGTGAGTAAGAAGAGGGAGAATCCAAAGAGGACTACCGGATTTCTTGCCTGAAAGATTGTGTGATGAATGATTGTATCACTTATTGAGATAAGAAAGACAAAATGAGACAGAGAATGTTGTTAAGAAATGATGGTGGTTACCCAAACATTTACAAATAACTTCTTTAACATACTCTTTGGAATAGAAACCCAACTTTCTGGCCCCAAATATAAGAACCCTTAACTTACATATATATATATAATATATATATCTGAAAAAAAGGTAATTTAAAGTGCTATTTGTTGAGCGTGTTATTCTCATCAAAAAGAAAAAAAAATGTTATCACTGTTAGACATTCTATTTTGGCTTAGGTGTGATAAGATTCTGCAACAAAGGAGCATCTGCTAGGATTTTCATTCAATCCTTCCTTCTACTTCCCAGTAATACCTAGCTGGGCCATGTTGGAGCAAAGATTAGATTGGATTTTGAGCTCCCCTGTGTTCCCATGAAACAGCTGAGAGAATTCTTACTGTATATGTTCTTTTGC